ATGAAATAAGTACACTGACGTTCAGTACCCCACTCGCGCGGTGCGACGTGCTCGCAAGAACAGCCAGCTCCGTTGCACGCATCGCGAGGCACGGTACTGGCCCAGGGAGGAGCCTCGCAGTCATGCCCAGCTCGAAGCTGCGGCCAGTACCCGTGGGGTGGGATGGGCCATGGGAAAGTCGCGGCGCTCCCGCGGGCGATTTGCTCCACATCAAGAAGTTGCCTGCATCTGCGAAGTTTCCTGCGCAGCCTGATCTTCATGTCTCGTACTGTGTGGGGTTCGCCTCATCGTACCAGTGGGTGTCTGGGGCGAATTACCCGAACGCTTACAGGACAGCCATACACACAAGCTGTTCGGGGAATGGAGGGTGGATCCAAAGAAAAATTGGGGAGAGGGCGGATGTGCGTCCACATCGCACTATACACGGCCCCGTGAATCGCGAGCTGGGATCGCCCCAAACCCCGCCACCAATTAGAATTGCGGGTGGCATGGGCGAGGTAAGATGCATGGCGGCAATGGTAACATGATATAGAGCAAAACGTATGTCCGTTTTCCTTCAGTACCGTATGGTCCGCGTGCAAGCTGTACGCCAGAAAGCAACGGGCGCGCACGCGTGCTCTTATTCGAGTGGGGGGAGGAGGAGTCAGAGGAGGAGGATGGAGAAGGGACGCTGTTCCCATCGATGCAGCAAGCTCCCCACCTTCTGGTTGCACGTCTTCACAAGGCTGCCATGACACGCGTGACACATGCCGCTGGCAAACCGTTCCAAGGCCTACCGTCGGCAGCCACTTCGCTTCGCATGAACTCAAATTGGAGGAGAAAAGTGCGGGCGTGGGACGCTGTATTAGAAATCATGGAGACGATCAGTGAGGACGCGAACGTGTATTTAGCTCGACTGAATCTGGAAACCGCTCGGTGCCAGTCAGAGCTTGCACCCGTGTACGGTGACGCCTCCACTGCGGACACTGCCGCAAGCACGGACACTGACAGAAGCTTGGCCAGCAAGAGTCACGAGCAAGAGCGTCAGACCGACCTGCATCTGCAACGCTTTGCTCGGGACGCTCTCCAGAGCTCCATCGACGATGAGGACGTTACGAGACGGAAGTCTACCTCCACCTCGTCGTGCGCACTCCTCTGGAAGAGACCGCTACGGATCACGATGAGCTGCTGGGCGATCCCAGCGAAAGCGTGGGCAGCATTGTCGAAAGCAAGCTCGACGCCATCATCGAGCATGCGAATGAAGGCGAAGATAGACTCTCCGACTGCCGCGTCAACAGCAGCTCCGACAAGGTCAATGATTGCTACGCCGACGGCCGCACCGACAGCAGCAAAGGAGGTAAGGTCGCTGTCCGAGCTCGACATGCAGCTCGATGAGCACGACTTCGACACCATGGTCGACGAGCTGGCCACCATCCAGCTGGCCACGGGCTATGGCTAGCAGGCGCCAGCCTGACACGGTCGTCAAAATGCACTCGGCGAGGATGCGCTGACGGAGGCATGGATAAAGTTTCAACAATTCCAGCCTCACCATGCACAAATGCATCCAGGACGACTACATGGATGACCAGCCCAAGATCAAGGGCAAAGGGATCAAGGCTACGGTGACCCCTAAGCCACTGGCGAAGGCTCGGCCGCCCATCATTGCTCTTTACTGTCCAGAGTGCGGGATAGCCTTTAAGTTGCAGAGAAGGTTACCCATCGATCGTCATTCATGTGCGCAGATTGCTGCCTCACGTGCGCAGCGCAGCAACAAATACGAATGAGTTAGAGTCTGTCGCATGACGGTGCTTTGATGATCGTGTTTCGGCCTCCTCTCATCTTCCCCCTTTTCCTGCATGATCCTACATGCTGGCTCCAGGTGGAACGTGAATTGCTTCGAGTATTATGTGTGCTTGCGTGTGCGTCTTGTTGCGTTGGGCGTTGCGTGTATTGGAAGCGTGGAGGACCTCGCCCCTCGCACATCGCAGAATGCATGCGCAGAGGAGCCTCGAAAACATATGATGCATTTCCAGACTCTGCGCTCTGCCCTGCCAGTGGCGCAGTCCGACAGCCAGGAGCCAGTGCAGCAGCACGCCCACATGCAGCGCTCCGCCCCTTCCTAGCCGTCCCTCGCGTTCCTCCCTGCCTTGCTGCCCTGGGTGTCCAAAGGCTCCCAGTCGAGACAGACGGCAGGGAGAGAAAGGGGGAGGGGGGAACACGGAGAAACGCCGAGCAGCGCTGCCGCTGCCCTTCTGCTGCGTGCGTTTGGCCACACGGTGATCGACGCAGCATAACTTGACGTTTCAATTGCGTGTGCGTTTATGCAGAATAATGCCTGACAGGCGCGGTTTGGGGCCTGGTGGTAGGAGTTAACGAGTAAAGGTGGGGTGAGGAGCAAAGTATGCGCCGGGCAGAACGGGCACCCCATGCGGGATTGCGCTGCTCGTGATCACCCGACGAAAACTGAGCAGTTCTCTGGGATCGGCTTCTCATAATAGGTTCGCCCCTTCGTTCCGATGCTTCCGACTCTTCCGAGGAGGGGCGTGAGAACTCAATGGGCCGCCTCTCGCCCTGCTGTTGCGCAGTGGCCCGCCTCAGTCCCCTCCTGCTCCAGCGCCAGGAAGGAGAGCGGATGAGGGAAGGAGGGCGGAGGAAGAAGGGAAGGGGGAAGGGGAAGCAAAGGGAGGAGGAGGAGGAGGAGGAGGGAGGCGGGGCGGAAACGGGAGGGAGGGGGGGAGGAGGGAGGGGAATGGAGGGCGGAGGAGGGGGGGCGAGGCTGAAAAGGCTGGAAAGGGCACAGGCAAGATGCCTCGCCGCGGCGCGGCTGGCCCGAGTCACGTGCCGAGAACAGCTCCCAGACGCAGGAGCGGCGACGAGGAACCCTAGGGGCCCCACCAGACAGGCGCACCCCTGCACGGCCCTCCGAGGAGGGGAAGGCCGCGGCCATGGCCCCGCCACTCTTGCAGGGACGGACACCAACGGGCAGCCGAGCGCATCTAATTACAAAGGCCGCCCGCCCCAAAAACCTCGCGGGCCCGAACGGAGCAGCGCTCCCCAGGCTACACCCGGAGAACCGCCAGAACTTCGGCCCGAGCCCATGCAGCCACGCGTAGCTACTCGCCCTCGGCGGCTTGCACTGGCCGTCGGACTCGAGAACGACCCCAGCACGCATGACATCGTCCGCTCTTGCCCCACTCCTCCTGCTTCTTCCCCTCGATCCTCGCCTGCCCGGCAAAGGCGGGACAGAACTCCTCCACGGAGGAGGAGGAGGAGGAGGAGGAGGAGGAGGAGGAGGAGGAGGAGGAGGACCCGAGCCGCTCCATCGCCTCCGCCAGCGCGGCCTCGCGCGACCCTCGGAGCCAGGCTCGAGGCCGTCGACGGCCTGCGATAAAGGGAAATTAGGACACACAACACACAAATAAATACACACAAATAAAAATATTCCCCATATTTTCCCATATTTTCTGGGTTTTTGTCTTCCCCCCCACTTCCCATATTTTTGCATATTTTCCTGGGAGTCGACGATTAATTGTGTCTGTGTGTTTCTTTTCCCCCTGATGCGAGACCAGGCCGACATGGCCAGCCCTCCGCGTCGGCGAAGACGCCCGGCACCCCGACGCTGCCCTCCACGCATGGAGGCTCCGCAGCGGCAGCGCATCCCGGCGGCCCCGGGGGCACCCCGGGCCCGCCGGGCGGCTGCGGCAGCTCTGGCGGCGGCTCCGGCAGAGCCCTGGCGGGCTCGGCGGGGCGCCCGGCGACCTCGGCGGGGGGGCGGGGCCCATGGGCGCCAAGCTCTTCACTCCCAGATCGTCTGGTACCGGAAATTTTCGGTAGCGATTTCGACGCACCCCGAATTTCGGTAGCGACCGGATCTTCGTTTGAGGGCGTTGAGAAAGCGGATTTCAGAACGCTCTGATACCGGTATTGGGCGCTACATTTCGGTATTTCGGTAGCGACCGATCTCTGCGGAGCGCTACCGGAAATTTTCGGTAGCGGACCATCAGGGCTGGCTCGGATGCCTCCCGCGCGGCGCCCCCAGAAGCGCTCCGGGCCAGCCGGGCGGCAGCGGGGGCCCCGGCGCTCTGCCTGCTCACGTCCAGGTCGTCGTCGTGCTCGAGCCGCCGCGTGGCGCGGCGGCAGTGCGCAGCAGCGGCCTCCCTAGCACGCGCTGCTTGGCTGGCCTCGACTGTGGCCCTCCAGATCCGCGTTGGCGCGTCGGCGACGGCGGACTGCACCCCCGGCCCCTGGACGGAGTCGGCGTCCTGTGTCGGCACCTCCGCGAGCTTGAAGATCTTGCTCTCCAAGCCCTCGTCCTCAGGTCACCCGCGCCATCGTCATCACATTGATCGGCCCAGGTATTCGCCCCGAGCGGCAGCGCCCGATTTCCTCCCACTGCGCTGCCTTAGGAAGGAGTCGAGGGAGAGGTGTGAAACGCGAGAGGGGGAGGGAGGGGGCATGGGTAAGAATGACACCCTGTCTGAATCCGAACGGGCCCAGATATTCAGGCCCAGAAGTGTTCAACCGAAGTCAAACCAGAACATATCATGACTCAATCTTCGGATTTTCTATGGCTGTATCTTCGGATGATGTTTGCACTCCCTGCGGCCCCAGACCCCGCGGTCAGACAGGCAAGTTTCGCCCAGGTGGCGCTGCGCCCTGCCGCTGAGGGGGGGCGCGGGGGAGGTGGGCGAGGGTGGACGGGGCCAAAAGCAACGTTTTGGGATGCGGAAGCAGGCGCTCGGCCCCGCCGGACTCCAGTTCCGCCTCGGCTTCCCTGGCCCTGCCGGGGGCCAGCGGGCGCAGGGCCGGGCAGGCGACCCCCTTGTCGACGATGCCGCCGTCGTCGTCGCCGTCGCCGCCCTCCCCGCTTCCTCCACCCCCTGGCCCCCGCCCCCCCCGGCACAATCGAGCCCCTGGCAACCAAGCAGCGTCGGTCGGGCACTCGAGCTGTCCAGGCGGCAGGGCGGCGCGGGGGGGCAGCGGAGCAGGGAAGGGGGCACCAGAGGGGCCACGACAGAGGGGTGGGTGGGGCGCAGGCGGTGGGGGGAGGAGGGGACGGGAAGCAGTGAATCCTCTGCTCTGACAGTTCACGACATGTTTTCCACTAGGGCTCCCAACTTCGCGCTTCGCGCTGCGCGAAGCGCGAATAACTTCGCGCTCTCGCGCCGCCCTCCCAAAGGGAGAATAGGAGGACGAGGAGGAGGGGGAGAAGGAACGAGGACCGCGAAGCGCGAAGCGCGAATAACTTCGCGCCCTCGAGGGAGCCCTTGTTTCCACGAGCACCGTATATCAACATGTGCACTGGGTCGACCGATGCGGGCGACGGGTCCAGGCGGAATTTCGCACCTGCCCGCCGCCAGCGCATGCAACCGCGGAAAAAGTCGCGCGGGGGCGGCCCAGCACGTGGCCCGTCGGGGCTGGGGGAGCTCCTCCTCCTCCTCCTCCTCCTCCTCATCCGCTTCCTCCTCCTCTTCCTCTTCCTGCTCCCCCGTCGTGCTGTCCCGCATCCCTACTTCCCTTCCTCCGTTCTCCATCCGTGCCTGGGTCGCTCTCCCCCTCCTCCTGGCGACGCTCGGGGCACGGGTCGCGCCAGGCAGCAGCGGCGGCGCCCGGCCCCCCTAATTACGCCCGACGCGGCACAGACGGCGCTGCGGCGGCGGCGCCCGCCTCCTCCGAGAGGCCGGGCACATCTGGCGGCGCGCCCGACGACGTGCCGCAAGGCAGCGTCGCCCTGTGGCGGGCGGCCGCCTCGCGCACCGCGCGCCAGCCGGCGCCCGCGCTGCCGCCCGCCGCACATCCCGCGGCGCCGCCGGTCGTCTCCTCGGGCGCGCGGGCGGAGCCGCACCTGCTGCAGTACCGGTCCTCGGCCGTGAAGTAGGCGGCGCCGCAGCGGCACGCGCCGGCGGGCGGCGCAAGGTCGACCGGGGCGGGCGAGCCGCACATGCGGCAGAACCGGGACTCGGCCGCGAGGTAGGCGCCACAGCGGCACGCGCCGAGGGGCGGCGGCGGCGCGAGGCCGGGGGCCGGCGCGGGCGGGGTGTCGCGGCCGCCCTTGCTGGAGAAGGCGGCCGCCAGGCTGGGGTTCTGCTCCAGGATGCCCTTCACACGCTCGTCCAGGCCAGCCAGGACCTGCAAGTTCACCTCCTTGTCCTTCTGGTTGGTCACGAAGTACTCCTCGAACCGGAGCGTCCGGGCCGCCTCCTCGGCCGACTTGTGCAGCCAGGCTCCGAAGAGGTAGTCGCGCAGGGCGGCTTGGCCGTCGCTGCCAGCGACGCCGTGCACCTGGGCACGGGTATCGAGACGAGAGGCCGGCGCAAGCCCGTCCTTCAGAGCGTGAATTACCTACCCCGCTTTCGCTTCCAGGCAAAACCAAGCCATACCACGCGCCTCCTCGTCAAGCGGCCTGACCAGTACAGGCCGTAGTTTGGCATCGTTTGGTATCCTTTGGAAGCGAGGGTGGTCAAAAGCGAGGTAGGTTTGGTTTCCCCTGAGTCCTGGGTGATCTGGCGCATCGACGTCCAGGCCTCCACGCTCGGCCAGAACCGCCGGTTGTAGTCGGCGTCGAACATGATGATCACCGTGCAGCCCAGGTAGAGGTCCGCCGGCCCCCTTGTGGGGCCACCAGGCTGCAGGCCCGTGATTCGCAGTTTCCTGTACCAGTCGTAGGTTGTAGTCCCACCAGCCCTTTGGGCGTGAGTGGTTTAGGGAGCTCTCTCTGTTCTCAACCCCCCTTCTTCCCCTTCGGGGAGGGGTTTACCCCTCCCCCTACCCCCTCCCCCTGGGCCTGGACAGGAACTCCGGGGTGTTCTCAGGGGGGTCTTTTTCGACCCCTGGGAGGGCCAAAAAACGACGACCCTCACGAGGATTCTGGCCCCGTCGGGGGGACACAGAAAAAAAAACCTCCTCGTCTGTGAAGCCAAAATCATTGATTTTACTACGGTTTTGGTCCCATTTTGGCCTTCTGAGGGGGCAGCGCTCCTCTTCCTTCTTCTCAAAATCATTGATTTTACGAAGGTTTTGGGCTCATTTTTTCCTTCTCAGGGGGTAGCGCTCATTTGCGCTTCTGAGAAGGTCGCAAGAAGCCCCCAAGAGGCCCGAAGATGCCCCCAGGAGGCTCCCAAGAGGCCTCCAAGAGGCTCCCAAGAGGCCCCCAAGAGGCCCCCAGAGGCTCCCAACAGGCACCCAAGAGGCTCCCACGAGGCCCGCAGAGCCCCCAAGAGGCTCCCAAGAGGCCCCCAAGAGGCTCCCAAGAGGCGCCCAAGAGGCCCCAAGAGGCCCCCAGGAGGCTCCCAAGAGGCCCCGCGAGGAGCCCGAACGACTCACACAAGGACGAGGGGCCCGAACGACTCACACCACGAAGAGCCCGAACGACTCACACCACAATGAGAGGCCCGAACGACTCATACCAGGACGAGGCGCCCGACCGACTCACACCACGAGGAGCCCGAACGACTCACACCACGACGCGGGCCTCCAACGACTCACACCACGTGGAGCCCGAACGAGTCACACCAGGAGGAGGGCCAGCGCTCCTACAAGCCCTCCAAGAGGGCCCCCAGAGGTCCACCAGATGGCCCCAAGATTGCGCTTCTGAGAAGGTCGCAAGAAGCCCCCAAGAGGCCCCAAGATGCCCCCAGGAGGCTCCCAAGAGGCCTCCAAGAGGCTTCCAAGAGGCCCCCAAGAGGCCCCCAGAGGCTCCCAACAGGCACCCAAGAGGCTCCCACGAGGCCCGCAGAGCCCCCAAGAGGCTCCCAAGACGCCCCCAAGAGGCTCCCAAGAGGCGCCCAAGAGGCCCCAAGAGGCCCCCAAGAGGCTCCCAAGAGGCCCCACGAGGAGCCCGAACGACTCACACCAGGACGAGGGGCCCGAACGACTCACACCACGAAGAGCCCGAACGACTCACACCACAAGGAGAGGCCCGAACGACTCATACCAGGACGAGGCGCCCGACCGACTCACACCACGAGGAGCCCGAACGACTCACACCACGACGCGGGCCTCCAACGACTCACACCACGTGGAGCCCGAGCGAGTCACACCAGGAGGAGGGGCAACGCTCATACAAGCCCTCCAAGAGGGCCCCCAGAGGTCCACCAGATGGCCCCAAGAGGTTCCCAGATGGCCCACAGGAGGTCCCCAGGAGGCACCACGAGGCCTCCATGAGGCCCCGAAGCTACCCCCAAGAGGTTCCCAAGAGGCCCCAAGAGGCGCCGAATACTCCGCAAGAGGCCTCCGAGCGGCTTCCACAAGACATCTACTACTACTTGTTCTCCTACGATTACTACTACTTTTACTACTACTACTAGTACTACTCATACCCGTTTGACTACATCATCTCGTACTACTACAACTACCACTACTCTTACGACTACTACCAGATCTACTCGAACTACTATGAGTCCTACTACCACCAGAACTACTACCACTACTACTACTACTACTACTACTACTACTACTACTACTACTACTACTACTACTACTACTACTACTACTACTACTACTACTACTACTACTACTACTACTACTACTACTACTACTACTACTACTACTACTACTACTACTACTACTACTACTACTACTACTACTACTACTACTACTACTACTACTACTACTACTACTACTACTACTACTACTACTACTACTACTACTACTACTACTACTACTACTACTACTACTACTACTACTACTACTACTACTACTACTACTACTACTACTACTACTACTACTACTACTACTACTACTACTACTACTACTACTACTACTACTACTACTACTACTACTACTACTACTACTACTACTACTACTACTACTACTACTACTACTACTACTACTACTACTACTACTACTACTACTACTGTTGAAACGGTTAATATTACAGTAATAATTCCCTGAACAATTTTTCCGGTAATGTAATGGGCGTGCGTGACTTTCTGGTTGGATTTATTTGTTCAGGAAGGTGGGTGGATTCTAGAAGGGAATTAACAGGAGTTGGGGAGGATTTGGGAATTGGGGGGGTTACAAAGGAAAGAGCAGGAGTTGGGAAGTTGGGACCCGGGGATGATTCTACAAAGGAAAGAGCAGGAGTTGGGGGGGATTCTGGAATTGGGGAGGATTCTACAAAAGGAAAAAAGGAGGAGTTGGGGAGGATTTGGGAATTGGGGAGGATTCTACAAAAGGAAAAGGAGGAGTTGGGGAGGATTTGGGAATGGGGGGGGTTCTACAAAGGAAAAAGGAGGAGCTGGGGAGGATTTGGGAAGTGGGGAGGATTCTACAAAGGAAGAAGGAAGGGTTGGGGAGGATTTGGGAATTGGGGAGGATTCTACAAAGGAAACAGGATGAGTTGGGGGGGATTTTGGAATTGGAAATGATTCTACAAAGGAAAAAAGTAGAGTTGGGGAGGAATTTTGAATTGGAGAGGATTCTACAAAGCAAAAAAGAGGAGTTGTGGAGGATTTGGGAATTGGGGGAAGGGGGTGCTTCTAGAAAAGAAAAAGGAGGGGTTGGGGAGGATTTTGGAATTGGGGAGGATTCTACAAAGGAAAAAGGAGGACTTGGGGAGGATTTTGGAATTGTGGAGGATTCTACACAGGAAAAAAAAGAGCTGAGGAGGATTGAGGAATTGGGAAGATTCTACAAAAGGAAAAAGGAGGAGTTGGGGAGGATTTGGGAATTGGGGTGGATTCTACAAAGGAAAAAGGAGGAGTTGGGGAGGATTTCTGGCATTGGGGAGGATTCTACAAAGGAAACAGGATGAGTTGGGGAGGATTTGGGAATTGGGAAGGATTCCACAAAGGAAAAAGGAGGAGTTGGGGAGGATTTGGGACTTGGGGAGGATTCTACAAAGGAAAAAAGATGGAGTTGGGGAGGATTTGGGAATTGGGGAGGATTCCACAGGGAAAAAAAAGAGTTTGGGGGGGGATTTGGGAATTGGGGAGGATTCTACAAAGGAAAAAAGAAGAGTTGGGGAGGATTTGGGACTTGGGAGCATTCTACAACGGAAAAAGAAGCTGGGGAGGATTTGGGAATTGGGGAGGATTCTACAAACGAAAAAGGAAGAGTTGGGGAGGATTTGGGAATTGAGGAGGATTCTACACAGGAAGAAGGAAGAGTTGGGGAGGATTTGGGAATTGGGGAGGATTCTACAAAGGAAAAAAGGAGGAGTTGGGGAGGATTTGGGAATTGGGGAGGATTCTACAAAAGAGAAAGGAGAAGTTGGGGATGCTTTGGGAATTGGTGAGGATTCCACACAGGAAAAAGGATGAGTTGGGGAGGATTTGGGAAGTGGTGAGGATTCTACAAAGGAGAAAGGGGAGTTGGGGAGCATTTGGGAATTGGGGAGCGTTCTACAAAGGAACAAGGAGGAGTTGGGGAAGATTTGGGAATTGGGGCGGATTCTACAAAGGAAAAAGGATGAGTTGGGGCGGATTTGGGAACGGGGTGGGTTCTACAAAGGAAAAAAGAGGAGTCGGGGAGGATTTGGGAATTGGGGAGGATTCTACAAAAGAGAAATAAGGAGTTGGGGAGGATTTTGGAATTGTGGAGGATTCCACAAAAAGAAAAAAGGATGAGTTGAGGGGATTCTTTGGGAATTGGTGAGGATTCTACAAAGGAAAAAGAATGAGTTGGGGAGGATTTGGGGATTGGGGAGGATTCTACAAAGGAAAAAGGAACCGTTGGTGAGGATTTTGGAATTGGGGGGGGAATCTTCAAAGGAAAAAAAAAAGTTGAAGATGATTTGGGAATTGGGGCGGATTCTACAAAAGAAAAAAGAGGATTTGGGGGGGATTTGGGAATTGGGGGGGGTTCTACCGGGGAAAAAGGAGGAGTTGGGAAGGATTCGGAAATCTGAAGGATTCTACAAAAGGAAAGATGAGGAGTTGGGGAGGATCTGGGTATGTGGGGAGGATTCTACAAAGGAAAAAAACAAGTGGGGAGGATTTTGGAATTGGGGAGGATTCTACAAAGAAAAAGACGGAGTTGGGGATGATTTCGGAACTGAGGAGGATTCTACAAAGGAAAAAGACCGAGTTGGGGAGGATTTGGGAATTGGTGAGGATTCTACAAAGGAAAAAGGAAGAGTTCAGGGAGGATTTGGAAATTGGCGAGGATTCTACAATGGAAAAAATGGTGAGATGGGGAGGATTTGGGAATTGGTGCGGATTCTACAAATGGGAGAAGGATGAGTTGGGGAGGATTTGGGGATTGTGGAGGATTCAACAAACGAAAAAGGATGAGTTGGGGAGGATTTGGGAATCGGGGAGGATTCTAAACAAGGAAAAAGGATGAGTGAGGGAGGATTTGGGAATTGAGAAGGATTCTACACAGGAAAACGACGGAGTTGGGTGGGATTTGGGAATTGGGGAGGATTCCACAAAGGAAAAAAGGTGTGTTGGGGAGGATTTGGGAAGTGGTGAGGATTCTACAAAAGGAAAATGAATAGTTGGGGATACTTTGGGAATTGGTGAGGATTCTACACATGAAAAAAGAAGAGTTGAGGATGATTTGGGAATTGAGACGGATTCTACAAAGGAAAGAGGAGGAGCTGGGGGGGATTTGGGAATTGGGGAGGATTCTACAAAGGAAAAAGGAGGAGTTGGGGAGGATTTGGGAATTGGGGAGGGTTCTACCAAGGAAAAAGGGGAAGTTGGCAAGGATTTGGGAATTGGGGAGGATTCTACAAAAGGA